AGTAAAAAATGTTAAAAAACTCTCAATCAAATTTTAGCCACTCTCGCAATCTATTCTGTAATAATACAATAAAATTATATAAAAGAAAGGTACATATTCAATTAAATTGCAATTATATGAAATACCTAGTATATGGGGTCTAGTGTTAAAAATATATTTTTAGGAAAATTCGAATACATAAGTATAGAAGAGTGCATACAATAAAATAAAGTTAGGGACCCTAACATTCATATGTTGAATGACCATTTAATTTATTTCTTTCTTATTTTTTGAAAAAAAAAAGGCATCGATGAAAGAGAAAGTGCCAATTTCCTTTTTCAAAAAACTAAAAATTATAATAATAGTAATAAAAAAGGTTAAAACAAAAAAAAAAAATATTAAAAAAAAATCTTTGATATCAAATCACAAGAAAATCTTTCATCGTTCGGTCGCTCGTTCGTTCATTCGCTTGTTCACTTTTTTTTTTTACTGTACACTTTCTAATATACACAAGTTAAGATTTACGATGATAAAAAATTACGCTAACATTTATTTTTCCTTTTCCTTTATTTTTTCTTATTATTATTATTATTATTATTTTGAATTATAAGCAGATTTTTAAGATGAATTTGAAAATTTAATCATTGTTCAATTATGTTGTTCGTCTGTTATGGCGCTAAGTTATATGAAATAAGCGTAACAGACGTACAGTAGACGAACAGATCAGTCTAATAGCGTGTTATGCTTTTTTCATAAATCTACGATAAAGCCCTAATGACAGTGCAATTTAAGCGGTAATAATCAGAACACTTTCTACATCAGTCAAATGATAGTATTTTTATTTTATGCCCACTTACATTTAGCGATTGGTGGGGGAGAGCTCTTTTAACAAAGAAGATTTTTGAATAATGGGATGAACTTTAATAAAATTTTCACTCAAATTTGATATTCTGAATACACTGTTCTTTTTCGAACAGAAGGCGTTTTGAAACTCAAAACTACAAAAATTAACAACAATAGATTTTCGACCCTCTATACGATTTAATTTACAATATTAATTGTAATTAAACTGATTAATGTATATTAACCCAAGCCCTAATCAATAAAATTTAATAAGATACTAAGAAATTAGATCAAAAATTTGAGTCAACAGATAAAGATTTTAATTTCATTCTAAATTACTATGAATTTCTTACAAAACAATTGTTTAATTTAATCCTCCACCAGCTTACTATAATGTTTCACAAAAATTTTATCTTTTCATAACTTCTAATTACAATAAAAAGGTAGTTTGTGCATGCCATGCCACATACAATAAAATAAAAATTTTTAAAAATTACACTTGTATAGCCTTACACAATTACACAAATTGCACATGTTATTTAATAGAGCCTTAACGAAATGTTAAGACAAAGTTTAAACAATTTTATTAATTTTGTTTGTCTTGTTTTAGTTTTTTTTTGTGTGTTTTAATTTTTTTTCTTTATTATTCACATGTAGCCTTAGGTTTTCCTCCAATTCAACATAATTGTGCCATTTTTTTTTTTCAGTTTTTTTTTTTTTTTTATGCAACAGGTTAACAATTTCCTTATAAGTAGACAGGTAGAAATCAATATAAGAATTTGAAAATTTTTATTTTTTTTCAATTTTTCCAGAAATCAAAAATTAAATAAGTTTATTTTTGTTTTTCTAAAAATAAATAAAAAAATAACAATTTTGTTTAAAAAGTAATGCAATGCTTCCTAACGAACAAGTAATAAAATGTAGTAATGGAAACCGGAAAGTACCTTGACTTATACAAGTAAACTAAAGATTTTTAATGTAAACCAAACTTTTCTAGTACGTACTAATAAAATAATTTTCAAATAACAATTGAATTACATGACTGGACCTTATTCAAGCTTAATATTATTTAAGGCAATTACTTTGACCTACACAAATCTATTGGCTACAACTTCGTAATAGAAAACTAAAAAACTAGTACTGCCTTACGCTGGCCAAACTTATTAAATATTTATAATTGTGACAAAATTATACAATTAAAATTCATAGATTATAAAAGGATGCTAGATCTTATTTGTTCTGAACAAGTAAATTACTAAATTTATTCAATAATCTTTAAAGTTGCAGAAATTTTTGAGTTAAAATACAAACAATAGCTATGAAATCATTTAATCTTACCCATTATACACACTTTTATGAAACGAATCAAACTGTTATATAAAATTTATTAAATATTGAAATATTATTTTGAATTTTAATAATTATTATTATTATTTATTTAATTATTAATACACTTGTTTTTGTTTTCTTTTGTATTACAACACTATAGTTACACTAATTAATTTCTTTTATATTTTATTTTTTAATACATCGATCGATTTTATCGTATCAAATGCAAATATATTATAAATTTTAATTGAATTATTTTTGCTAGAAAATAAAAGCGTTTTTTTTTTCTCTTTATTTTTTTCTTTATTTTTTTAATATTTTATATTATTTACTTAATTAGAAAATTTAAATGTTTAAAATAATTTCATACAATATCATTAATGAAATCATCCAAAGAGATTGATATAAATTGGGTTAGTAGTTAAAAAATGATTGTAACAAACGAAAAACAAAAAAAAAAAAAAAATAGAAGAGGGAAAAGAATTCTTTGATTATTTTCAGGATTTATTTTTATATTTCAAGAGTTTCGTCTTTATATTCTCTTTATTTTTGTACTATTTTATTTTTATTTTTTCTTTGATTAACAATTAATTCTATAATAATTGTGTTTTTAATTTTATAGTGAGGGTGCTGCTAGTGCTATTTTCCGTGTGTTCTATACAGTGTTTCATTTCTATTTTAAATTTTGTTTTTTTTAATTATCTGTACAATTTATTTTAAACTAATAGAAGTGATATTACATTAGAAATATAAGTGAATAAGATTGAAATAACAAATTGAAAATCTAAAAATCCATACTATTTTATCAAAGGTATTGAAAAAGAAAATAAATGGTTGCTTTTTAAATAGAAATTAATAGGAAAAATTTATGAATATTTAAACTAGAAAGCAATATAATTGTTAACTTAATATATAAAAATACAAGAATTATATTTATGTTTAATATTTTACGTTGAAACTAACTAGACAAAAATATAACTTATTAATTTCAAAATTCAAACAAAATTACAATTTATTAATTTATATAATAAAAGCAAAAAAAATTTTAGAGGATTTCTGATTTTTTTAAATGTTATGATATCGTCTTACTTAGAAGCTGCAATATAAAATTTTTTTAATAATTATTTCCTTCTAAATATCACTAATACAATATCATAAATCTAAATTATGTTAGTTGAATACAAATTATATATTTTAAATACATATTTAATTTTGCTAATTTTAAAATGATAAAATTGTTGAAAATTCAAATTAAATTCATAATTTTTATGCAGAACCAAAATATTTTAATAAGTGTTTAGTTTTTTTTGAAAAATTTTGTGCATAAAATCTTTTCGAATGCCTAGATTTGCAACAATACAATGAAATTTACAATTTAGAGTTGCATATATTTTTCATTTTATATTTTTCTTTTTATATTTTTCTTTTTTATTTATCTTCAATATAATTTTTCAAATTATTAACATGAATTATCTAATGTTAAACCTTGCCAAATTGGCTATCTCGTGGTTTTTTTTTTCATTGTTAATGTCATTAGTCGCTATTAAAGAAATTAAATTGAATCGTTTTAAATAAATCAAATATTACATCTGATATTATAAACTTATTAATTAATAATAATATATAGAACTAATATTTTCATCTTATACGCTTAACAAAACTATTAATAAATAATTTATTAAAAATGGTAAACTTTACAAAAGAAGAAAAAATAATAAAAATATTAAATTTACAACAGAATTTGATTGTTTTGTTTTTCATTTTTTTTTTATACATAATTAATTTGTTATTTAATAATGTTCGCGTTATTTTTATTTTTTACTTAACAAATAATATTAAAAAACAATTCGTTATTTATTTAACATTCCAATTAAAATTAAATTAGATTAGATATTAAATATTAGATTTTAAATTAATTTTTAAATAATTATATTTATACAAAATATTTGTTAGAAACGTACATAATAAGTATATATGAAATTGAAAAAAAAAATATTATAAAAGCTTAAACATTAATAATTATAAAAATATTTAACTAATTTAAAAAATATTATAAATGGAATGTTTTAATAATTTAGAAACAATTAATTTTAATAAATCTTTTCTATTTAATTAATTTGAATAATGCATTTATTATTATTCTAAAAATCTATTAAAATTTAAGTTACTTTTGAGTTTATTTTTTATTTTTTTAAGAATTTATTCACACATAATACTATTTCAAGTATATTCAGCTTATATTTTAATTTTATTCTTAAAATAATTAAATATGTTCATATTTAATTATATAAAAAATTGTTTTATATTAAACTTTAAGAATTATATGATCATTTTCCAACTTAAATATAGTCATAATAGGATTATGTGATAAAATAAATTTTAAATATGTATTGCCTTTTTTTTTACTTTAAGAAGATTATAGTTAAATAAAATAAATGTTTTGTTTTATCAAAGTAAATTTTTGTTTAGATTTAAAATTAAATTATTTCTTAAAAATTATTGTAAACATTAATAAGTATTGTATAAAAATATTAATATTAATAAAAGAAAAAAAATGTACAACTTAATATCAAAACTAATTCGAGTGTTATTATGACACTATATCAGGTTAATTGATTGCCAATTTATTGCATTAATATTATTTTGTAGCCCTTTTTATTCTAATATCAAAACAGAAAACTTTTATTTAACTATAATCTTACTTAATTATATTATTATTTTAATTTATATTTCGTTATAAGTTATACAAAAAAGAAATTTATTAATTTGAGAATTAAAGTTAATACATGTATACCATGTACATATTATATATTATAAATTTATAATATATTTTCATATATATATATATATATATATATTGTGTGATTTAATTTTTAAGTTTTAAAACTTAATTTAATATCAAGTTCTAGCTACTATTTTTCTTTTTCTTGAATCTTTATAAATATAATATGAGTTGAATTTAATTTCTATAATATTTTCCTTTAAATATTATTTATTAAATTAACTTACTATAATAATAGTCCTTGATCTTGAATTATACATTTTTTATTTCTTTAATTTTTTGTAACCGTTTCAGAATTAAAAATCATCTCGACTTATTGCTGGTGAATTAGAACGGCTACCAATACCACCACCACCACCACAACAAAATTTACTATTTGAATGTTGTAAACGTACACCAGTAGTTAAATCTATTGTATCACCTTGTGCTCTTAATTCTCGTTCTGTACTTTTTTCTAAACGTTGCCATTGTTTCACAGCCAACATAAAAGCTTCAGTAACATTAATAGCATTTTTTGATGAAGTTTCTATAAAGCTAGATATATGATATTCTTGACACCAAGATGATACCTCTTCTAATGTTATCTGACGAAATTGTGGACCAATATCATTCTAAAATTATATTAAATTAAATTATATTTTTATAAGTGAATTTGATTTTAAAATAATTTCAACAAAACTTTACTTTATTTCCAACTACAATAAATGGAAAATTATCTGGTTTAACATCAGCATATTTCAAAAATTCTTCACGCCATTGTTTTAATCCCCTAAAGCTATCACGATCATCTATTGCATAGGCCAAAAGACATATATCGGAACCTCTGTAAAATGGAGTTCTAAGAGCACGAAAACGTTCCTGTCCCGCAGTATCCCATATCTAAAATAAAATTAAATTTAATAATTTTAATTTTTTTAATTATCTAACTTATAATTTACTATTTTTATACTAAGACTATGATAAATATAATTACTATAATTTACCTGTAAAGTATATTTAACACCATCTACTTCAATGTCTTTGTTCATAAATTCTACACCAATTGTATGAAAACTATTCTCATCGAAACGATTTGAAACAAATCGATTCATAAGGCAACTTTTACCAACACCTCCATCACCTAGGATTACAACTATACGAGAATGCAAGGAAAATTAATTTTTTTTAGTAATTAAGCTTTAATGAATTTTTTTTTTTCAAATTATAAATACATAAGTACATACATACATATGTATAAGTATATGAACAAAGGTTATTTTTACCTTTTAATAATATTGTTTTATTTGGAGGTCTCATATTCGTCATCTTGAAATATAATATTGTTTTTTTTTTTACTTTGATTTAAAAAATAATTATTACAATTTTAGAAAAGTTTTGTAATTTGTTTTTATTTTTCCACCAAAATTAATTATATTGTAAAGCTGTTTCTTAGAAGTACCTACTTAAAAATCATATCGCATTAGCTACGGGAAGTGTAAATGGAAAATTTTCTTAATTCTTAAAACTAAAAAAAAAAAAATAAAATGATATTTTCATGATAGAACAGTAGAAAATCTTTTAATTGCCATTAAAATTAATAATAATAAATTATAAATAATTAAATTATAGAAACTTACCACTACGTCTTAGACCGATTTTTTACTTTTTTTTTTAATATTTAATTAAATATAAAAAAAATGAACATGAATATATTTATTTACTAATTAATATGCGCAACAATAGAGACGTTTGACATCATACTGATGGTTTAACGTCATTATATTTATGTCAATAAAACGTTAACGATAAGTTTAATACATAAAAAAATTTCATTAATAAAATATTTACCAATAGATGGCAGTATGGAAGACCTGCGACATTTTCGTTTCGTTTTTATTAATGTACAGGGATATTAATGACGTTTCTTAATAATTGTAGCATATATGCTATAATAAAATTTTATTATTGATGCTATCGTTCATTATAAATAATAAAATGCAGTAATTGCAGGGACAAATACGCAGTGTTGTGTTATAAACGTGTATAATTCGAATGAAAATTATATTTCTATAATGAATTCCATTCGTAGCCCTAAACATTATGAATGTCATATTATTAATTCTGAACTACTAATCTTCTGCTTCAAATATTCGTAATAGAGTAATCATAAATTACGTTCGAATTAAAAATAAATATCAAAAGTTAAAGAAATAAGTACACATAACAAGCAATTTTAAAAGGACGATTTTTTAAAATTTTTAAATTTTAAAAAATACATATTTTTTTTAGTTGAAATTCCTCTGACACAGCCATCTTGAAGTGAAATAAATTCATACTCTTAAAAAATATCTGTTTAGGTTCGAAAATTTTTTACTCAATTAGCTACAAAAAATATATATGAACAAATTTTTTATAGTTGAAATAAAATCTCTACTAGTAAAATTTTTTGTGATCATTCAAAATTCTATGTCGTATATCTAAGTTCGGAAATTGCACAATTCTACGAATAGAATTTATGATAGAGCTGTTATTTTCTACCAATTCTACTGCATATAATTTGCAAAAATATTCAACACTAACATAAAATGACATTAATTTGAGTACTTTAATTTAGTATACTACTACTAGTTGCTCTGTAGTTAATAAAATTTTGACACATAAACTGGAATATTGAGATTCCATTCCAATAAATTCTGCTTTGAATTTTATTATTCTCATTTCTCTTATACAATTTTTGTTTTTTAAAAAGTAATAAACTTAATTCAGTTTCAGTTCTGCACATTTAACAGATTCGAGCAGTTGTTCTTTAGTGTAGGAATTTCAGTTTATTTTAAAAAAAAATAAAATATAATAATTTTTGCTTTGTTATTATTTTTATTTTTGTTTTTTTTTTTTCTTTCTTTCTTACAATAAAATCAATTCTAAAGATATTTTTTTTACCAATAATATCCAAAAAAAGTTAATTTTATTATTAAAACTTTAAATGAATGGAATGGGAAAAAAATTGTTTGCATGCACAAAATTATAAAATAGAATTTAAAAAAAAAAATAATAAAAAAAAATAATTAAATTTTAATATTTACTTAAAATTTTTATATAAATTAAAAAAAAATTGTAATATTAAAGAAAAAACCAATTAACAAATTAATTCAAATAAAATTATAAAAAAATGGTTTAAAATTAATTAACACAAAAAAAAAATAGGATCAAGTGGAATTGCTTAAGAAATAAAAAGGTAGTATTAAATGTTGAAAAAAAAAAAGAAAAACAATAACAAGAAAACAAAAAATAATATTAATATGACACCTTCATGCCGTGTATAGCGTAAGACCGTTGTATAAGTTGACGTTTTCCTATATTATATTTTCATGTCATCTCAAATCACAATACAATATTATCTGTGTGCGTGTATGAGTAAAGGTGTTTGAAACCACACACTATACATATCGTATATTTAATGAATTTACCTGTATCGTAATGTGAGAATTTTTAATAACTACAAAGTGGATTAACTACTTTTATAATTTTTTTTTTATGTTTCATTTACACACACATACACCAAAATTAATTTTATAATTACATTTGTTTAATGTAGTAAGTAAATAAAGTATATACATACATTCTGTAATTTTATATTAAAAGAATTTATGTTTTAAATAAGAAATATTTTAACCTGATCATGAAATAGTCAATCAAATATGTTCTCTCAAAATTATTAAAATTAATTAAATTATTAGAATAAAACTGGTTAAGTAAATTTAATATTAAATATTATAAAAAGAGAGAGACAGAGTGTTGTATAGTAATTATTCTGTTAGGCACAATAAATTTTTTAATCAATCTAATATTGCTCTTTAGTGTTATACTACCACGCGACAATAAGAAATGTAGACATTTCATACAATTTGATAGAAATTTTCAGATTACAATAAAAATAATAAAAAAAAAAAATGAACTGTCACTGTCATTCATTTATTTTTTCAATTTTGCAATTTCTTGTTTTTGTTTTCTCTCCCTTCAAATTTATTTGTACGTGGTTGAATTTTAATGAAACAAACATTTTTAGCATAGATTTGCAACACTTTTTTTATATAAATGTGTGTTTGTGTATGTGTGCATGAATTTTGTTTTCTTTATTAAAAATTATTCTTATTATTTTTCATTTTCATTGTTTTATTAACTTCTTAGTATTTCTAATTTAATCGTATATTTTTCCGTCAATATTAAAAAAAGAGAGCAAAATAAAAATAAAACCAAAGAAAAAAAAGAAATCTATGCTCACCTTATTTTAAATGGGTTGAAAGAAAACAAAAATAATAAAACCAGAAAACACAATAAAAATTTAAATTATAAATGCTTTTTATAAAATCTCCAATTGGATTTTAAATATTCTCTCTTTTTCTCTTCTCTTGTCATTTGAAATATTATGTTTGTTTGTTAAATTGTTAAACAGACAGAACAACATTATTTTTTAATACTTATACATAGATACGTTGGAGTGAGAGAGATAGATTTTTATTCATATACATTTGTATTATTAAAAAGAAAAGAAATTTTTTTGCACAATCATACATTTTACTATGAAAAAATATTCTTGTTTTTGACATAATAAAAATAATAATAACAAAATAAAAACAAAAAAAAATTGTTTTTTTTTTTTTTAAATTTACGGTCATTTAGAAAATTTTATGCTTTTTTTTACTTTCAAATATGTTTGTATTGTTTATTTGTGGGGTAGTGATTAACTAATTCTTTGAGGCTATTTAAACAATATTCATACGCAACAGTAACACACACTTATAAGCACAAATATTAATTATATTTAATAAGAAAGTTTGAATGCATATGTATTACGAGCTCATATAATGCTCAAGTGTGTGTGTACAAGCATAAATGCCAAATAATAATAACAAAAAAAAATTGAGAAAATAAGAGAAATTGAGAAGAGAATTTTTTTTTTTTAATAAAGAAAATAATTTTCAAAAACGTGTTTTTCGTTACAATAGGATTAGTAAATTTTGTAATATATACACACACACATTTAAGCACATTTGTGAAAAACAATTTACAAAGAACAACATAAACACATAACAAAAATCACACACACACACATAGGAAATTTTTATGTTTTTTCCGTTTCGTTTATCTTCTCTTTTTTTTTTTCTAGTATTATTTTTTATGCTCATTGTTTTTTGCTTTTCCTTTTTTTTTTGTTGTTTGCATTCTTCTTTTATAACATTTCAGTTAGTTTATTTTTGCTTCTTGTTCTTGTCACAAACAATCAAGTGTCATTAAACTTTTGTTGAAAATATTTTCTCTCTTTCTTTCATATTGCAATAAAAATGAGAAAAAAATTTATTTTTTTTTTTCAAGAATAAATGGTTCTTGTTTTCTTGCTTTAATTGTTTTTTTTTTTTGTTTGTTGAAAAAGGTGAAAATCTATACTGAAATGAGAAATAACATAAGAATGAAAACAGAAAAACAATAAGAAAAATGAAATTTTTCAGGTGTTAAAACTTCTTTTTCAGCATAAGAAATTATTAAAAATGTTAAGCAAAAATAAAATCCAAAATTACAAGATAATAAAATTTAAATATAAAATTAAAATTAAATTAAATAATTAAATTATTTTCAGAAAATATTTGTATGGTGAATTTTGAAGCAAAAGAAAAAAAGAAACGCCGAAAATTAACCATGAATAAATTAAGAATTTAAAAAAAAACTAGGAAGAAATTTAATATTTAAGAAAAAAAAAAACAAGAATTAATTTGAAAATAATAACTAAATAAAACTAATAATTTTAAATATTAAATTTAATATTGAAAAATTAAAACTTAGTGAAATTTTATAAAAATATTTTATTAAAAAAGAAAAAAAGCATAAAATGAATGAATGTCTGAATTTTTTATACCTTAAAAAATATTTGAAAACATTAAAAAAATTTGTACAAAATACAATAAAAAAAAATTAATATTTTTACAATATTAAAATTATAATATTAATAAGGATTTGACTGTACTCGTTTTTTACATCCATACATACATATAAATAATTTAAGGTAAGTGGGAAATTTCAAAATTTTCTAATATCTTAAGTGATTTAAGCAATGAAAAATTAATTTAAATTTTAAATATTAATTAAAATTATTAAATAATGAGAATAATATTTTCAAAATTAGCTATAATTAAGTATGTACCTATATATATCCTAGAGATCGGAAATGTAATAGCATTCTATTAATGCCGAATTCAGTTTATAAATGCCGAATTGCTAATTTTTGCATCGATACGGTAATATTACAATTTAGATGTTAGGGTACTCAATATGAGTATTTTAACCAATTGTTGTATATTTATATTGTATTACTTTAACCCATTAGCTGCAATTAATGTCCAAATATAAAAGTTTCATGAATTATAAAACTGTTATAATAATTTAAAATTTATTATTTAAGTAATTGCTTTCCTAAAATAAATTTAATTATTGAGAATTAACAAAATTTTTAATTATTTTTTAATAATTTTCAATTGCTCATTTCATATAAGTAAGTAGTTTTCTCATATAAGTAAGTAGTTAATAAGTAAAATTTGGACAAGCAAAAAATTAATGGTTCTAGCTACAATTTATTAGTACTTGTATTCTATTTCTATTTTCTTTTCCTTTAATTTACAAAATATTCCAATATAATTAAAATCCTTTTTAAATGCACATTTATGTATTTTGTTTTTAATTTTTTCGGTTTTTTTTTTTTTGTTCTATTCTATATTAAAGGCCATTTCAAGGCCGATTTGATCTTTGATATGTCCTTGAAATCTATTGTACGCATGACAGTACTTAATAATACAATAAATTTTTTTTTTGTTTTTGATTTTTGAAAAATTCTTATTATACTTACACATATACTTGCAATAATATTATAATATTATTATAATATACTTATACAAATACAATAATAGAGGAATTTACCATTTTAATATTATGTGTTTATATATTATGTATAACAGTTACTTATATATAGGGTATAAAAAGTATAAGAATTTTTTATATTTGTTTTTTGTGTTTTTAATAACGACGTGTATAACAGCTTCCTTATTTCTTTTATATCCTTGTAAAATATATTATACATTTACAAAATATGTGTTATACAGATATGTACATATATGAGAAAAAATAAGGAGGAAAAATGAGAGTAGCTATAATTTTAAAAAAAAAAAAAAGAAATCACACTTTTTAAAACTCCCTAAAATTATACACAAATATCCTTTATTCCATCAGAAAACTGAGACACAATAAAAAGAGAGAGAACGAATTTCATTTTAAAGAAAAGGATAACGAACAAGTAAATACAATTTTTTTATTCAACACTCTTAAAATTTAAACACAAATACACGTGTGTACCGTACCAGCTTCGTTATAGATTTTATTTTAAAAAAAATTAAAAAAGAGGAAAAATCCAAGTGGAAAAGGATATTAAAATAAAAAAAAAGGAAAATCATGTACATCTTCTTAGATTTTTGCAAAAATATTCTTATATCTTTTGTATCCTTGATACTATTTTCTATACATAAGTAGTACTTGTACAGCTACTTTTTTTTTTCTCTCTATACCTTCAACATTTTAAGTATTTGGTTTTCTTTTTTTTTTTGTAATGAGTACAAGGACATTGTACCGAAGGTTGATTTATTGTTTCCTTGTAAGAATATATATATATATATATAGAATAAAGAAAGAATAAAAAGGTCTAGGTCATTTACAAGGCCGATTTCGATAAAAGATTTTATATAAAGGATATTTTTTTCTTATAGGGATTACATAGGGTATAGGTGCATTGTATGATATTTTTGTTTTGTAAGGTGCATTTTGTAAATTTCTAATTAGAAATTTTTATGTATTTTGTATACAAATGCAAATATTTTTGTAAAAATATTTTAAAAATTATTTGTAATAATTAAAATATTGGATTAACTTTATGGAAAATTATTCAGATTTTCATTTCTTTAATTAATATTGTCGCGGACTTTTAAAATGGAAAAACTTATACATAAGTACTACAAATTTTCAAATGAAAATTAATTCTAATACGAAAATATTGTAGCAAAATGATAAGTTAATTTATTTATTATTGAAAACAAAAAAAAATACAAAGCTGAAGTTGACTGAACTACTTACTCCTAAATTTGCCTTTCACGCTTTCATAAGTTCATTGTATTTTTAATGCTACAGAAAAAGCGTCATATTTCTGCAATAACTTAATTTATAAGCGAATTGTACTCAAAATACAAAATTTATTTTAGAATCAAAAATTTTTTTAGTGGCATCGTATTCCACAGCTCAATAGCCATAATATTGATTGTATAGCCACACAGAACAATTGGTGTAACTGTTATATTTTTAGTGACAGTGGCCACGCAGTTACGCAAATTAATAGTGACATAAAGAAGGGATATGAATATTTAGAAAGTTATAATTTTTTTCCACTAAAAAAGTACCTATAGTATTTGCATAAAAAATCTATTGTGAACGCTACGAAAATTTGACGAATTTAGAAATTACGAGTATGTTCGAAAAACTGTCTCGATACTTCGATTGTCTTTCAAAATAAGTAGAAAAGTATACCCAGCCTTAAATTCTAAGTGTTACTTAAACAATTTTAAATATTTTTTTTTTCATATTTACTTTTTTGAAGCAGCACTGACTCATAGATATCACCTTATATTCATAAATTTAGACTATGAAAGGGCCTCTTGCACCAACCACTTTAACTTAGTGAACTTTATGAATTTTAATTAGTTTATAATTTTTTTTATTTAAAAAGCACTTTTTTTTTTATTAATTTATTAGTTCATTTAATGGCCCATTAGCGCTTTGACTCTTGAGGTGCAACAAAAATTTTATGATTAATTGATTAAGGAAAAGAATAGAAATTGATTGATGCAATAGGGCTTACAATAGGTTCAAAATTCTAAACTACACAATTAAAAATGATTTTAGTCAAATTCAAAAAATTTTTAATTAATAAAAAAAAAATTCTTGTCTTCCCTTTCTTATACTAAATTTTCTCTATTTCGAATTTCATTTTCGAAATTTAGAATACTAAATTCGAATTATATGGAATTTAGATTTTAATGGGTTTGTGTCAAGGATTTAAATTTTGTTTTAAAATATTTTTATCAAAAAAATGTTTAAAATATTTTTTTTTATACTTTAAACAGTAAATATAACATTAATTAATTTACAAAATATTTTAACATTAATATATTGATCGTACTTCCATAATAATTCCATAATAAAATTTCAGCTATACTTCTAGGGGATTCAAGTATATACGTACATATATAATAACTTGCCCTAAAAATAAATTATCTAAAGAAAAACAAAATTTATAACTAATTGCGTTCATTGTAGTTATTTATCCTTTTCTTTAATCCATATACTTAAATAAAATTTTGCAATTAAATTACAATCAGTAAGACATTTAAGACAAGTAAGTTTAGTATTGGTACGTGACTAAAGTCAACTTTTAAATAAAAACATAACCTAATTTAATAATTTTAGTTGTTTTAGTTACAACACAAAAAAAAAATATTTTGCTAAATATAATAATATTTTTTTACTTTTATAAAAAAAAAAGAAAATATAGAACACTGTTTTATTGATTTGTAATGAAATTATTTGATCAATAACTCATAAAATCATAAATTGTTATACAATAAACTTACATACTATACTTATCCATTGTCACGTAAACAGTCACATATACGCAATGTTTAATGCTTGTGTATACGTTGACTTACATTGTATATTGCGTTTCAAATATTACAAAAGTTATGGCCGGTATTTCTAGAATATTATTAATACATAATATACATATATATAAATGTAGTTAGTTAAATTTTATGTATAACACATTTATAATGTATTTATTCAATACCTTTCTTCTTATATACTTAAAATCATTTAAGTAAAATTTAGGTCATTTTATTTTTAGAAATTTTTGTTCTTAATATCATTTTGCTTTTTATATTATATATATAGATACATGAGTGCCTACATAATTTACAAAATAAAGAACGCTAATATAATAATAGTATGATGAATACTACCTATACATTCGAATATACTTAAAAGTTGTATACGTAGAATAATAATTATTATGGAAGACGTCAATTAATTATACAATATAAAATTCATTTGATACTCGCTTATAATTAGTAATGTAATAAAATCTAGAAAAATTTTTAGAAAAATGCTAAGATGTCTATATATACATATATATAGATTAGAGTATGATTATCACAAGTGACCACAATTTAATTTTAATTAGAAATTCTTATAAATTAACCAGCTCAGATGAAATTTATGATTTTATTAAAAGAAAACTTGAATTTTGACGAATACACGAAAATTTTCTCTTATATGGTTATGAGAAAAAATTCAAATAATGTTGACATTGTACCTTTCGATTTTTAGAATCAAATTGTTGAATTAAATTTATTAGTTCAGTCTATAATATAGTGATAATGTTCTAATGACAAAGCCGAATAATTGTAAGTTGAAATACCGAAATACATATAAGAACCAAGCTACACTTGTAAAATATTTGACAAATTAATTCTTTGAATTGAATTTGAATTTTAATTGGAATTCTTTCCTATTTGATTCGCTTTTTTATCGAATTTCGTTAAGTATTAGTCCTGACTTTTTGTTTAGAACTCATTATTACCGTAAATTAATTGTATTATTCTGTTTTAATTTAGATCAGAGGCTCCCAAACTTTCCCTCGTAGACGCCTTAGCCTGTTTTTGAATTTTTGATAGACCCCCTTAATACTTAATTAATTAAATTCATATTTTCTATATAGACCACTTTCGGAATCACTGATTTAGACTTTGCTCGAATCTGCTATTAATAAAGCTTAATTTCATTCAACAAATAAATTCAAAATATCATGCAACCATGTAATAATTAGCATAAAATCTCAAAAATTTTAGAACGTTTGGCAATCTTTTCTTAATTCATTTTTTTTATATAACCATACCAAAAGTACAAAAATACGAA